GCCCCCTACATAATACACCCCCCCCCGCACTCTCCATGCCTGTCCACCCCCCACAAATCCCACCCACACCCTCCCCCACACCCCACATACCCACAAATCTATACCCACCCTCCCACAGTATAGACTTCATTTTAAGCTATTATACTGTCACCTCTATGTACACTACACAACATATGTAAATGGACAAAATATATTTTTTTAAATGAAATTAATGAATGTTGTAGTACATGGTATTTTTCTGGTTCCAAGATGGCAAACCCTCATGTTGGAAGGAGTACTTCTGGGGGGCAAGGGGAGGGACTTCTGGTGGCAAAAGTCAGGAGTTAGGGGGCAGGACTTCTGGTCCTAAGATGGTGACAAGGGGCAGGGCACCTGTCAAGGGGCAGGGCTACCCATGCGGCCCTCAGTGTCTTGCCAAAACACTGTAAACAGCATTCTGCCCAAAATATGTGCCCGCCCCTGGTATATATGGAGTGTGCACGCAAGAGTGTGTGTGTGTGTGTGTGTGGATACATGCATACACACATACATATAGATATATAGATATCTATATATCTACATGTATGGGTATAGGTATACAGATGCATATATGTATATATGTGTGTATATACACACACACATACACGTGTGCATGTTCACACACTATATATATGTGAATATATACACATACATACATGTATACATACTCATATACACACACATATATGTATGTGTGTCTTTACTCTAATATTATAAAAGTCTAAGTCTGTCTGTCCATAATGTTTTATTCATGCTCTGATTGGCTGATGTAAACAGCCAATCGGAGTACTCCAAGCGTGGGGGAGCACTGCCATAATTCTGAAGCTGTGCCAAGGACTGGACAGAGGATGCTGCAGTGCTGCTGGCCTCAGCTCCCCCACCCTGCTCCCTGCAAGAGGCAGAACAGTGGCAGCATGGGGCATTGGGTGGTGGCACTCCATCCCAGCCCCCTCCCCCACCGTCACTCTTGATGGGCAGTTGGCGTGTGTGTGTGTACACACACATACTAGCCGATTGCCCATCAAGAATGACGTGTGTGTGTGTATGTATGTACATGCATGCATGTGCACACATGTGTGTACACACACACACGCACACACTTATTCATTTATAAAATCTTTGCCATTCCTGGCAATATTCATATCTTTGTCCACAGAATTAATATAATTCTTTGTGGGTTTGCCTAGTACAGAAACAGGCCCCAGAGAAACACATTGTTTATTACATACAGTTAGTAATCTGATTTATTTAGAATGCCAGGGGAATTTGTTTTTCTGAAAATAATTACAAGTGTAATATTTTTTTTAGTAACTCCATTCTAAGCTATCAATAATACTAGTAATTGAATTATAATGCAAAATCCATACAGTGTAGTGGAATCAATATTTAATTATTAGAAATAGTTGGAAGCGATTAAACCATACAACATATTTCTTAAAATATGGATGTTGTTTTACTGCTGATATGAAATCCAGTTTTCTATTGGATTGCTTTTTTTGGAAAACATTTTTGGAAGATATTTAGATAATGACATGTAAGCATGGTTTATTGTATTTTATAGTATACCATACATGGACTGATTCAAATAAGCTCAACAGTTATAGTAAATCCAGGATTAAAATATAAATAATTTGTAGGGAGAGTGACAACTTTATACCTCCCTATTGCATAATAATCAACATGGACTAATCTCAAACATTGTAGTTCCAGAACTTCCTATAAAAAGCATTTTTACTACAGTTAGGGCTGCTGCTAATTTTAGTTACCTTTTTAAAAGATGGCTGGCTATAAAATAGATTAAAATAGATTTCCCAGGGTGCCAAAACATTGGATTAAAAATATTATCATTTTCTAACCAATAGCTCTTGTTTAGAAAAGTCCTGCTCTACGAAGTAAAGTCCAAATAAGATTGCAGGTATCACAAGTGAAAGCAGTGGAACATTTTTTATCTGAGTTATGCATGAGAACTGAGTAAAATAAAAGACTTATACGGACTGGAGAAACAGTGGAGCCAGGTGCCACTTTCTTTTTCAGTATTAAAATGTCTTAAACTGCATTGTCTTTTGCTATGTCTTAGAAAATAGGAAAATTCTAACCTTAAAAGGAACAGAGAACTCACATTTATAAATCCTTCCTCCCTCCATGGGGAAGTGTCTTTCTGTAGTTTAGTGACATTAATTTGCACTCATTGATTTCCCCTCCCCCCACAATAGTTCTTTTGTTTGCTTTTGTTTTAACTAGAGCTGGTTGAAATTTAGAATTTCTGTTTCATGAGGCATTTTTTACATTTTGACCTTTTTTGTTCCAGTTCAGGATTTGGAGAAGCAGATTTTAGCTGCTGTAAAAAAAAGGGGGGATTTTATTGCTTCTGAGCATGTTGCAGCTCTTGAGATTTAACTGTTACATCTAAATGATCCTGTAGTGAGACCAATGAGCTGAATAGCAGTAACTTGGACCCTGAATGAAGCAGGGTTAAAACTGGAGCAGTTCTGCTACTCCTGTATTTCTACAAGATCATGCAAATAAATGTCGCAGCTGCATTGCAATCAGCATTTATCAGTCTTGATATCAATACGTTTCTTATGTCTGTCTATATTCTTTGAGAAAATAACCTGAGGGGATAGGACCCAATGGTTCTAGATGGATGGGAGCAAAAATGTAGGAGAGACTGATTTTTGCATCAAATTCTGGATGATGGAATGTGTTTGTTGTTCCATTTTTAGAGTAGCTTAAAAATATGTGTTTCGGGTGAATGAATGAATTATGATATTAATCTTTCCTATATTTTTATTTTGAATTAGGATTACTTTCCGATGATGTCAATCCAACATCTAATCAAATGGCTTTACCCTTATAATGTTTTCCTGGGAAAAGAAGGTAGGACTGCAGTTGAAGATGCATTAAAAGTGAGTACTGATTATTAGACAAATCCTAGCAAACAGTAGCCTTGCTTGTTGTTTACTTCAGTTTGACACAAAGGAATATTAATAGCCTAAATACAGTAATGTGCATTATTTAAAAATATTTGGGAAAAACTTCATAAATCAACATATTTAATTATAATGGGTGACGATGTTTTATATCTTCTTGTAGATACTGGTGCCATTTTAGGAAGGTTTTTAAGCATGTGTTAATTTTGACTGTGACTTAATTCAGATAGAACTACTAATATTGTTAATTTTAGGTAAAAAAAAAAAACCCTTCCTGAATCAAGATATGCAAATGACACAGGTCACTTTCACCAAAAAGTTCAAAATTTGTTGAAATTTTAAATAATTCATAAAATTCTTAAAAAGTGTCTGTGATTAGACTCCTTCACATGAACAGCATGGAGTGTAGTGTGGTGTATTGTGATTCCTTAATGCCCACTGGTCCATTATTACTTGTGGCTGTTAAGCCTTTAGAGGTGGTCCCAGTTTCTGATGCCATATAAGGGAGGTCATCTAGTTGCTTATTGTACACCACAGGAATTCCCTTGCAAGGGGTTCCTGTGGCATTTGGAGAATGCCTGCAAGTGCATCCAGGGCTGTTGTCCTGAAGTCTTGGCTGCAGCAGGGGCACAATCCTGCAAGACAGTAGCCTTGGGCAACCTCTACAAATGACAGTTAAGTGTATCAGCTGTGCCCAGCAAGGTACATATTACTATTGCATACTAAACAAACATTATTAGTCAGTTTTTGCTGTTTGAATTTTTAAATTTTTGCTCTCTGAAATCACTGTGAAATGGAAAATCCTTGTCAGAAATAATTCTTCGGTAATGTCTTTCCAAGTTTGAGTTTTATGGAACTGAGCAAGTGTAGCATCCAAGAGCAAGCAGGTACTTTTTCCACCATCACCCTGCACAAATAAAAACAACTCTTTCATACCTTTCAGAAGAACCTTTTATTTTATTTGTATTTTTTTTTAAATCATCATTCTCTTCCACTTACCCACTTCACAGCCCTGCAGCAATTCCTAAGGATTCAAAACAAATGCATTTTGAAAGCGCAACTCAGGATTTAGGAAATATGAGCATAATGATATGTCCTGGTCAGTTGAACTGTAATAGTGGAAAATTATCTTAATTCCTACTGGGAAATGTACTACTGAGAGAGAGAGAGTCTGCATCTCTTGCATTATTCATGATTGTAGGAAAAACACAATATATGCAGTAAAAAAGAAAAAAGAAAAGATTATATATAGCCAGCGGGGAGTATCAAATCTGGTGTTCCCCAATTTCACTGGAGGAATTTTTGGGAGACGAGGGTTGATGGAGAGCAGAACACAGAAGAATCTCAGATGTGTTATGTGAACAATCACCTTAATGGATGGGACCTTGTGTACGTTTTGAATATTTAATGTAGATGTCATCTTTCATTGGTATTCGTTAGGCACTGAAGTTAAATAGGTGTTAAGAAAAACAGAATCTAAAAATCCCTTGCACTCTAAACTACTCAGCTTTCACTTTCTTGGCTCCCTTGCTTTCCAGTCACTGTAGATTTCCAAGCAAAGATGAATCTGAATTTCTAATATATGTGTCCCTCTTCCCAACAAATAAGGACTTAAAAAAACACCTTCTATGGAAAATATTTTTCAAACTTTCTATATATAGCATGAACCTTAAAATATTAAAAGGAAGGGTAGGAAAGTGAAAATACACAGCTTTTTCTTTGGCATGTCAGAGGCTGTATATATAGCAAGGTTTCATGCAAGGAGAATGCCTTCAACTTCCACAACACACAAGACTGTAGAATTAAATAATTGTCTTATCCTGACAAGTATTTTTTATTTTTATTAGGTTGCTTCTGATTGTAAGTGGTTATAACAGAATACAAAGATAATTGACCTACTAGGATACATACTGGAAGTTCTCACCTTCTGGTGCTATTATTTCAGTCTGCCTGACTATAGAATCAACAAAAGAACAGTGGACAGCATACAGCCACTATGTAATAAGAAGATATAGTTCTGTTTTTTTTTAAAGGGAGCTAAAATATGTCACACATAGGAACCTCAATTCAGAAAAATAGAATTCTGGCATTTTTTAATACAAAGATTTCTGTTGTTGCAGCTCGTTAATTGACTTAATTTGTTTTTTCAAGATAAACAGCAAGCTGTACATTGAATAAAGAATACTTAATAAACATATTCTCATACCACTGGTTTCAAATGTACACTTGGACTTTTCTAGTATTAACATTCTTAGAGTAAAATGGTTTTGAATGTCAGAAGAATTAATATTGAATCCATTTCTGCCTTGTTTTCAGAAGAAACTTTTAAAAATACACAGTTGGATGATAGATCTATTATTAGCTATTGAACAGACTGTCTGGAGATGGTTTCCTCTGGCATCTCTAAACATACAATAGTGGATACCACGGAGAGTAATGAACAGGGGATAGATTTGCTCTGGATCTGTCCTGTTCAATGTTCTCCTTCTATAGCATCTACTCTTTCCACTCTCAGAGACAGGATACTGGACTATATGGACCATTGATCTGACCCAATATGGCATTTCTTATGTTCTTAATCTGCATTAAATATTAATTATTTTTTTCCTTGGTGTTACAGCGTTTTAAACTAAAGGATTCTGGAAGCCATTTGTGTCCCAGTAGTATTACAAAAGTGGAAAGTGTACAAGGAAGCAAGACCTTACAGGCTGATGTAACTGTCCAGATTGGTGAAAAAGAAGTTACATTCCAGGTGATTGTTCAGCCAACTATATTATTTCATATTGTTATTACTAATTTTATTCTATTAAGTCTCACCCATACTTCAACACTCACTGTGGGTGTTGAGCTTTCTGCAGGACCCCTATGAATATCTTTTTCTTATAGAGTAACAAGTAATAAATTGTAGAACATCATTTAAGAACTGAAAAGTATCCAGTTATGGAAAAATAAGGCCTTCTATCCAGACAACTAAGGCAGGTCTATAATTTTTGTTTTGTTTTATGTTTTGTTGCTCTTTCATTGTATCTTGAAATAAAATAGTAGGGTTTTTTCTGTCAACCACATCATATAAAATGTAATAGCTAGCAGTACTGGCAATGTTATTCCACACAGGGCGTGCATCTACACGTGGATTTTACTGAGGACCTGACTAATTAGCTCCACAGTGTAGCATCTCTATCTACATGTGTGCCCATATCAATGTGCAGTAAATTAATTAGCTCTGCTGTAGATAGTACTGTCTGGGACAAGCACTGTCCTATGGAGAAATCATTAAGTGCGCTGAAATGCATGTGTAGATGGTGACTGGGGCTGATAAGGGCACAAGGGTGCTAGATTATGGGGGCTGCTTGTCAGCTAGCCCCTCATTGTATCATCTCTGTGCCCCAGCCAGCCCCAGTACTGCCACCTAGAGCCTGGGGCTAACTCCTTTGGGCCCCTTGCCAGCCTGGGGCTGCTGTGCCCTGGCTCTAACTGCTGCAAACTTGGGCATACACGCAAACCCTGCACCTGGGAGCATCTGACTCCAGCCTGAACTGCGCTGGAGTTTACTGCTATGTGCTAATTGCAAGTGTAGATGCATCCTGGATTTTGAAACAGAAGATGGAGCAGTTAGTTGATTAGTTGATTGAGGTTCCTTCAGTGAAGTTTACAGTTTGTAATGTCTTATTGAGGAAACACATGCTGATCTGAGAGTTTGAAGTGGATGCTGGATTTGGGTGAGATTGGGGAGTCTGTGATATGGATAAAATGGTAGGAAGCAGGAAGAGATCATATTTGTGTTTGGGAGGCAGGACCTCAGAATGTGTAGAACGGAGGGATGACCTCAGATTAAATATATGTGAGAGTATATGCAAACTGAGGTTTCTCTCAAAAGGGGTTGGAAACTAGGGGGTTTTGGTTGGAGAACTTCTTTGTATTTTTGGCTTAATTTGGCACTAGGGTAAATTCAGATCTGGTTAAAGAAACAATAGCTTCTTTGGGGAGAGGAGACAATTTGAGGAGGAAGCAGTGACTAGTATTAGAAGGGGTAGGGCTTTTGGGTTAAATTGAAGGAAACAAGCTTTGCTGCTGTTCAAAACTCTGTCCTAAATACCTGTTTAAAGTAGACTTTCAAATATTCACAATAAAATTGTTCCTTCTCTCTTTCACTCCTCTTATCTACAGTAAGTAATAACAGTGGAAACTTTTAAAGTTTCATATTTGGGATAGAGAGTTAACCCTACCTTAAAATGAATTAGAATAACCTCTCAGAGCTATTGTTTCAAGTTGTGAAGAGGCAAAGTAGACATCATTATGTGGGTTTACATTTTATTCTGATTTCATCTGAGAAATGTTCACAGCCACAAACTATAGTCTCCTGGGGGTGGGGTTCATGCAAGGTCTAGATTTTTAGAACAGAAGATGGAAGCTACCGGAAAAATGCCCAAACATAATCGCATTTGTTCTCCGAGTCTACAGCAACCTTTTGTACAAATTTTACCTTTTTCATTGCTTGTAGGTTCCAGCTGGAACTAGACCATTAAACCTGTATTCTGGATCAGATACTTTTATAAAGACATCCAGTCATAAGCAGCTCCTGGCAGAAATGATGCAGTCACATATGGTTAAGGATATGTGTTTAATTGGAGGAAAAGTAAGGACTTTTATGTTTTTTCTTTTTTTTTCTTTCAGTATATTTCTAAGTCCTTTTATAATTTATTTTTTATTGATTTATTTAAAACTTTCTAGGGCTGCGGCAAAACAGTTATTGCTAAGGAATTTGCCGATATCCTAGGATACAACATAGAACCTATCATGCTGTATCAGGTAAGTGAACTAGTGTATGTATAATATTGTCTGAAATATTACATAAATCACAGATTGCATAAATTAGATAAATCTCTATATAAGGCTCCAGCCTTTGGAGAAAATTACTTATTTAGGGAAAG